CAGCCCTTTGAATCTGGCGCGGTCCTCCTAAGTATCGTGGAGGGACCGCGTCAGAGAAAGGGGCGGGGCTGAGCGCCGTGAACCCGGAAGTGGGTTCCGGCGATAAATTACATGCCATGCTATACCTGACAGATTCCTTCTCAAAAGATTGTCTTCCTGGGAGCAGTGATAGATACAATCTCAGCCCATGTGTTTCTCTTTTCGGACAGGGCCCTGAAAATCCGAGACAAAATAGGAAAAATACAAAGTCTCAAAAAGGCCTCAGCAAGAGAAGTCATGAGCCTCTTAGGTTCTCTGACATTATCAATCGGGCCGGTAAAATGGGCCCAATGCTCATCCTATTCAGCATTGCTTCCTTTTTTAATTCAACAGAATAGAAGCAGATTGGGATCAGAGGATAACTCTGCCTTTCCCGGTAAGAAAAGGGTTGAGTTGGTGGAAGGGCAAAAAGAATTTGTCGAAAGGTTTCACATTGGAGGAAGCTTCTTGGAACATAATTACAATTGCCTCATATCTGAACAACCAGGGAGGCACAAGGAGCAATTGCTCTTGAAGGTACTGGCTCCCTTGATGGAAGTGGCCATGAACGGGCTTTCTTCCAGGTTCAGGGAATGTTACTGCGGACTTCCTTAGCAGAACAGAAATTCTTCCAGGAGAATGCAGGCTTCACCCGGCGGTTTTCTCATGGATTACCCATCGGTGGGGCATACCCCAGATCGACCTGATGGCGACTTCCATGAACTGTCATGTAGAGAAATTCTCTTCTCTGTCCAGACAATCGGGCGATGGGCCAGGATGTTCTTTCTTTTTCTTAGTCATTTGATATGGGGTATGCGTTCCCTCCCCTACTCATGAAACCCAGATTTCTGCAAAAGGTTTGGACAGAAGGCAAAAAACGTATTGCTATTATCCCGGTCTTGCCAAGAGGCCATGGTTTCCCCTCTTAGTCAAGTTGAGTCAGGAACGACCTCTGCTTCTCCCAATAATAAAGGATCTGCTGAGTCAAGGTCCAATCTCCCATCCTCATTTGGAACACCTCAAGCTGGGGTATGGGTCTTGAAAAGGAAAGACTACATCACTTAAGCCTCTCTGAAGCAGTGGTTAATACCCTTTTGCAGTCTAGGAAGGGTTCTACTTCCTCGTGCTACCATAGAATCTGGGATATATTCAGAGAATGGGTATTGGCCATGAGCATTGACTTCTTGCAACCTCGTAATATTTAGTTCCTGGATTTCCTTCAGGAAGGTCTGGACAAAGGCCTTAGCCTCAGCACTCTTAGAGTTCAGTCCTTAGCTCTTTCAGCATTATGAGCTTCAGACCCTTTCACCTCAAGATTCTTCAAGGCAGCTTTCAGGTTGAGACCTCCTTCCAGATCTGATACCCCTCCTTGGGACCTTCCTCTTGTTCTCAATTATCTGACTGATGATCTGTTTGTTCCCCTTGAAAATTCGGATACTACCCTTCTGACTTACAAGACTTTGTTTTTGGTGACTATTACTTCTGCAAGAAGAATTTCAGAGATTATAGCCTTTTCTACCATGACTTCCTGCCTACAAATCTATCAGAGTTGGGTGTGTCTGAGACCAAAACCAGAGTTTCTTCTTAAGGTGGTGTCTCAGTTTCATCTCTCTCAAGAAGTGGTCCTTCCATCATTCTATCCTAATCCAACTTCTAGTGAAGAAGTTAGGTGGCAACATTTGGATGTTAAGAACTGTCTGTCCTTCTTCGTTCTAAGTCATACCGAAAGACTAACCAACTCTTTGTTCTACCTTCAGGAACTGGGATAGGTGAGGCAGCTTCTTTATCTACGTTGAATTTCGCTAATAATCAGGAAAGCGTATATCTCTAAAGGTCAGTCTCCTCCAATAAAGAACACATTCTACCAAAGCATTGTCGATTTCATGGGCTAATTGGGTAGAGGTTCCATATGATGATATTTGCAGAGCAGCCACCTGGTCTTCCCCGATGACGTTCATAAAGCACTACAAACTGGACAAAGCCTCTTCTTCCACCTCCTTTGGTAAGAGTGTTCTGTCTACGGCTTCTTTATGCCACGGATATAAAATTTATTTGCAGCATGAGTATCTGTATATTATCTTTTTCTCGGTTTCTTTTTTCCCACCCTGTATTTCTGTGAGCTTGGGTATTACCCATAAGTGATGCTGCCATGATTAGCCAGGAATAGAGAAAATTTATGACCAACTTACCGTAATTTTATTTTCCTGGCCATTTGTCATGGCAGCATCAGGGTTCCCACCCATTCTTTATTTTTTCAACTTTTTAATTGGACTGTGGTATAAGGGGAGGAGGGACGCTTTATACCTACACGTCTAATTAATTATTCCTGTCCTGTGACAGCTAAGGGAGGAGCTATTTATAAGTGATGCTGCCATGAAAAATAGGAAAAGAAAATTACGGTAAGTTTGTTATAAATGTTCTCTATTTGTACCACCATTTAAGATCAGGTGTGTTTCTAAGCACCTTCAGTAGATGTATGTGTGGGAGGCTTGGGTGATATTTACAGGCAATTCTAGCAGATTAAAATTACATTACACCCCGCTTTTACTTCCAGTAGTGTTGCCAGCCTGATTACTCTAGTCATACGAGTGATGTGCTCACATTTTATAAAAAAAATAAATGTATGGTTCACCAGAAGAAAGCTTGATTTCTGGCATTAATTAAACCATAGAGCTTGAAGGATTCTAAAGCTTCCAGACTGTCCCACCGTTACAATTTGTGACAAACTGATTTAAAGCAACATCAGATGTTACTAAATAAAATCACTTAACTAAATCCCTGCCTAGACCTCTATCCACAGTGATACTATGTATTTACAACGTGAAATCCCTGTATGTTTGCGTCATCATGATACATGATAAAGGGACATCGTCAGGACTCTCAAGGCAAAGGTGTAGATTCAAAATGATGCTAGTTCCTTTCAAAAGGTGAAGATTTCACACAGTAAGATTGTTCCAGATCCAAACATTGGTAAAGATGTAAAACAGATCACCTGTGGGGAGTAATGATTTTTACAGCAGGAAATGCTTGGGAGCAACATAAAAGTTACACATTTACAAGGTCACTAAAGGCACCCAGACCCCTTTATCTCAATGAAGTTGTCTGGGTGCAATGCACCTGTTTTAGCCCTGATATCTAAAATACTACCGTTTAGTAGAAATGCCAATGTATTGATTTCAGGGCTAAGCACACCTCTAGTGACTGTCTAACTGATGGCCCCCTTTCTATAGGAGTATCTCTCTCTCAACATTTAGTTTTTTAGAGTTTTTCATTTCTTGTCGCTAACACACTTAACTAAGTTTGATTTCGTTATGTGATGTTCAACGTCATTAAAGGCTGATCATAGGGAAGATTTTGATTCAATGCTTCCCTATGAAAAGCATTTGTTCTGAAAATAACTTTTTATCCCCAATGGAGCATTCGATTGGATGAGAAAAGAAGGAACTGTCCGATGATGTCGCAAGTGGTGGAGCAGGTAACAGTAAGTCTCAGCACTGAAAAAACAGTGAGTATAAACCTATTTTCTTTTAATTTAGGTGCCCAGACATCTAACTAGTGAGAAAATTATGGCATTAGGAATACTTTTGAAATATAGTATATACTTTCTGGAAAATGACTAATAAGCATAAAGTTACTATCTCAGAGGATAAAAGTAAAGAATATGTGGCCAGCAGAAATATGACAAAATATAACATGTGTTATCATGAACAGGGTTATGAACTAAAGAGAGAATTCAAAGAAAATTCAAAGTGTTTATTAGTGGGGTTTTTTTTTTTATGTGAGGCCAACTGAGGGCAGAGTTTTATTTTGACCCGAAATTTGAAATTCACCCTGAAATCTCACATTAGTGAATAACCCTGTAAGGTCAGGATGTGCAGGTGTCAATTAAGTATCTTGGAATGTGATGGAAACCTCACAGAAATATTGAAAGCCTGGCAGGCATTCCAAGCAGATGGCCCGGCTGGGGCTCCTCTACTTCACAGTCATTACATGCTGAATTTCTAGAAACAGTTAAAAAAAAAAAAAAAATTATATATATATATATATATATATATATATATATATATATATATATGTTTAATTTACAGAGACATATGAGAACGAACCACAGGGGAGATGCAGATCAATCACCATGACCTTCAAGTTTGAGGAGTTATTGAGATCACACCCAGGAGTCCATGTGTGAAGCTGCTGTCCTGAAACAAAGACATCTTCCTTCAACTAGTAGTGACCTATGCTAGCCTTACTTTTTATGAATGGAGTGCATCGGGCTCAGCAACGTGAATGTTTAATAACGGGAAGAAAGTCACATGCCCGACCCTGACTAGAGCTGGTCTACAAGCTGCATGACACAAATGCAGGATCTACACCTGGTTCCTCTGAAGTCAACAGATGGGCTAGATTATCAGAATTTCAGACATGTGCATACTTCAAACTCTACGATCAGAGCAAAAACCCTGCAGAGAAAGTGTCTTGTGAAAGTCACAAGACAGATTTACATTGTTCAGAATGCTGGCAACATTTGAATTAATCAATGGAGGACAGAAACTCTGCATGAAATATGTGCCCTCTACCGAGTATATATTGTCTATCTGCAAAAATAGAACTATAACTAGGGATGCTTTTGGTGAAATGGGATATAAACCTAAATAAGCCGACATCCAATTTTTTTTTTTTTTTTAAGATACAATTTCTCACAAACAAAAATAAAAAGGCTAAACTTTTTCCCCACTTGTATTTTTTGCATTTTTTTTTTCTTTTAAATTATTTTAAAAGCTGAATGTCAAAGCTAACAAACTCCTTTAAAAATACAAGATGTTGAGTTTTTTCCTCATCAAAATTAGATTTGATTAGGTCAAAAAATACAGGGTCATCCGATACACTTTTTTTTGCACTGGCTTTCCCCAATTATAACATTTTTAAATTTCTTGTTGCAGGCTAAGGTAAGTTTTGGAATTGATCAATGTACCTCAAATAATCAGATCAGATAGCATGTGCTGAAAACAGATGACTTTAATGTCACACAAGTAATAACTTGCATTCTTATGGAAAGGTTTTTAGAACACGGAGAAATTACATAAGCGGTTACCATTATATTTGGTACAGCATCATAGACCAAAGGAAAGACCCTTAAAAAAATAGGCATTATAAGAAAATGTGAGGTAATAACACTGAGAAATTAGCAGGGAAAATAAAGTGGACCTTTTCATTTCATCTTACATGCAGTTAAGCAAAGAGGCATTGTGGACTCAAAACATACATGCAAAAAAAGTTTGAGGAACTTAGATGGTAAACATTTGTACAGAACATATTAATGTTGCTTAAAACTCCATAAAAGTTGACTCTTATAGGCGTTTTTAGAAACAAGAAAGATGTTGCAAAGACCACTCTGAGCTTAGACAGAGATTTGTGGTACTTATTAATCTGATTATTATAAAAAAAAAAAAATTAAAATATGTAACAGCTATAATTTTATTGCAATAAAACCAAAATGATTGTGTGTGTCTATACACATTATTTAATATGCACACACATACATTGTGTGTTACTTTCAAAAGGCAACATGTTTTATCCAATTAAATCATGTCTTGAGTCCACGTATAAAAAAAAAAAAAATTTATATCAAGAATCAATCCCCAAGCTAAATGATGTGCAGATTTCCAATTAACGGCAGCTTAATAAAATTCCCAACGAAACACATTTTAAAAAAAAAAGTATACAATTTAATACACAAAAAAGGAAAAGGAAAAAAAAAATTACATATTATGAATAGTGCAATAGACAAACAAACAAGTTGTATCAATTCATCTCTGATAAACATTTTCATTTTTTTCCCCTTCACTGCTTACCAAACAGGAGGTGAATATAAGGTGAAGTTTAACATTTAAGTTAAAAATAAAAGGGAAAATAAGGGATTGTTTTATTGGAGTATTATGTAAACACTGACTGATTTATGTGAAGGCAGAATTGCATCGTACAATTACCCAAAAATAAAAAAAAATTCAAAGTCCTCTAATGCTGTGTGTTCTCAGTAAATTGGGACAGGATTATAACAATGTGAATAAAACCTTAACAATTGATGTCACAAATTATATTCTATGTTGTTTACCTCCACACAAGGGCCATAATGTATGAACAGCATATTTTTATTAAAGCACACTGAACTTTTATAGTGCCTTAGTGAATGCCAAAAATACATGGCTTGTTTTCTTTCCAGGAGGACTATAAAAACAATTATTTTTACAATTGCATCTCATCCCCTCCCCCATCCTCATGTTCTACAGCGTTCTAAACAAATGGCCCTTGATATTGTATGATAAAATGCAGGGTGTATTTTTCCATCTGCAGTCCATGATGCATGACAGTGTGTATCAAAAGGTCAATCTTCACTTGCTCCATTAAATTCACACACTTATTAAACCGAGGCAGGCAAGGAAACCAGCATGCTTAAGGAAGGGCCTGCGTTTCTGGATATGTCTGGGGTAGCAATTCTGTTCAATTTTCCAACTTCTGTTTGCCAGGCGGGAACTTTCTTTGTGCTCATGTGCCTCCGAGCATGCTTGGTTAAGTGATCGCTACGCATGAATCTGCGGTCACACACGGGGCAGGCAAATTTCTTCTCCCCTGTGTGTGTTCTTCTATGCCGCGAAAGTTCATCTGACCGTGCAAACTTTTTATCGCAACCTTCCCAGTTACAGCTGAAAGGTTTCTCACCTTTAAAAGAGAGAGAAAAGTGAAAAAACAATACAAAAACAGGAATGCAGATAGAAGTTTTACCCATTACATGTGTTCTTGCACCAACTTATGGGACAGATGTGTTACCTACTTGGGATATCCACTATGCATGAATTCAGGAGAACTGACAAGAGGAATTGCAAGTCTTAAGTCAAAATAGCCAAGCTAAGAGGGGTTCCCCCCACCCACAATTGTTATTTTGGCCAAAAATTGCAATTTAGTTGTCAACTTTCAACAATGACTCTTTTACTAAAAAATCTCAATTGTTGTTTGATATTAAATCCATTTGTTGCTTTGTAAATTCGAACACTATCATTTGCAAAAGCAAGCAACAAAGAAGGATTTTTCATTAAGCTACGTGTCTGACTTTATCTCAGATCCTTAGACAGCACTCTTTATTTGATATGAGGTTTAGCCACTGTCAGTCGTTTTAATGATCAAATCAGATGTGAGGAACTATTGAATATGTTGATACTGTTATCAGTGTATTGACAGCCCTTTCATAGTTTTGTAAAACGGGGCACTACACCGTGCTTGTCTAAAATCACTAAATGCACTCACAGTTGCAATTCAGGACTGGACTTTGCCAGCACCGAAATTTACACTTTACCCAAACACATTTAGCCAGTTCGGTCTTTAGTTTTTCTCGTTACAGAGTTTAATTCGGCCAAATGAAATTCCGATCTGTGCCACAACTGCATCTTGCAGCCGTTTAGCAGATAACTGAGTACATTTGTGGAATTGCATATTTAAGGGTTCCAATAAGCTGATTAGTAGATAGCCCCATGTGAGGAAGCCATCTACTAAGAAGCTTAAACTGAAGCAGATACACTGATACAAATTGCATGGTGCAGAAAAGCTTTGTAGCGCTTTACCCACCCCTCGCAGTGTGAAGATGGATTATGTTTTCCTTGGGAATTTTGAAGAAAAGAAAATGGAATAAAAAATAAAAAAAATAAATTAATAGCACATCTAATGGTAAGTATTAATTTTAATTGCAGGTATTTTTTTTATGGGAGAGGGGAGCAATAAATATTATTTAGGGCCCCATCTGACACCAATGGGTGAGGGCTGGGAGGAGGGGCAATAGCTCAACCCCATTTTATTGCTTAGGGTTCCCAACCACCGCCAATTAGTGGGACTGATGGGTCCACCCCTCGTATTATATAGGGCTGATTCCAATGAATGAAGGGCTGGGGGAATTAACAAGAGGTCCTTCTTATTTAGGGCCCCCACCCAACACAATAGGGAGGGGCTGGGGGACACTGTCACCCTCGTTATTTTTAGAGACCCAATCTGCTGCCGATAGGTGGGGGATGGAGTGGGACTCTTGGTCCCCTATTTATTTTATTAGCACCCGGATAGCGCACACTATGTACCCCCTAGTTAATTATTTTAGTATGTACCCCACCATGGTGGACCTGTGTCAGGTCTTCCTTTTTTAAATGTGTGATTGGACAACAATAGCTGCCCAGTCCCTAGTCAATTTTTATAACACTTTTAGTAAACATGCATGGCAGGTAGGGGCAGGAAGGAGGATTTAACCTCCCTTGTAGTAATATGGGATCAGATTAGAAAACAAAAGAAGTGCAGGATGAAATTTCGACCAACAAGCAATTCTGTCTTTGTTTCATTTTGTATTCGTTCGTTTTTTGGACAAACTGATGAATAGCTGGAATTCTGACAAAAATTTGTTCGCCCTAAAACGAATGCCCAAGTCTATTATAGACTGGTGATGAGAGACATGAATTGGGTGTCACCATATAGTGTGCGCACGGGATACAAAATGTTTTGCACAAGCAGACGAATAATGTCTCCCTCTAAAATTGACATAATAGTTTACCAGCCGTTAGAATGCATATTTATTTAGGATGCTCGCCAACAGAATGAGAACATTGCCATTAATAAATACAAATAAATTAATAATCCTCTACTTAACAGCCACCTTTATGGCTTACCGGTGTGTGTGCGAAGATGTGCTTTAAGGTGCGAGCTTTTGAAGTAGGTTTTCCTGCAGCCTGCAAAGTTGCACACGTAATTACGCCTTCTTGAGAAGTCCATTTGTGGAGGGCTGCTTTGCCCAGCAGCAATAAACACAGGGGCTGGTGCAAGAGGCAGCAATTTTGTGTTCCCTACAGTCACAAGAGTCTGTGTACACTGCTGAGGTGGGTTTGTGACAGCTGCTTGAGGAAGTACAAACATAACAGTTCCCTGTGAAACTGGTGTTCCCATAAGGACGGATTGAGGAATCTGTGTTGCTTGGGGTAGGATTGGCTTGACAGGATTAGGAACCTGCTGAGCTGTGGGCTTGATAAAAGCAGAGAGAACACCCGCTTGTCCACTAACTGGAATCATCTGGCAGAGAACTGGGGCATGTGAAACAGGAACTGAAACCAACTGGTTAGTCTCATGTGAACGATCACTTTCACATTTCATTGACAAGATAGTCTGTGTATTCACCACTTGCTGGATGTCCATATTTATGTTAAGACACGATTTGTTTGGCTGAGGAAGGTGCAATGGTGGGGATCTTCTGTTCAGGCTGTCTGGAACATGTATTTCCCTGGAAAGTTCAGAATATTTGTTTTCAGATTGTTCAACACAGGGGTTTTTATGTAAGGGTGCAACTGTCCTGGCAGGAGTCTCTGGAATGTTTTGGAAAGAGGAGCGATCAGCCGTGTGGCGTATCACACTTGTGGCCATTGATCTGCAGGGCTGAGAGCTTAGAAACATATCCCGGCCCTGAGGAGGTGGTCTGTAGACAACTGGAACAAATGGCATGGGCACATCTGAAGAAGTGACGCAACAGCCCAAACTGCTTGACATGACCGTCACGGGCTTGGAATACGTTACTTGGGAAACGGGTGGGAGTGTTGTAGTGGGTTCTCCAAAATCAGGGCTGTGTGGTGGAGTCATGCACTGAAAAAAAGCAAAGCAAGGCTACATGTTAGAAGAATTAAAAAAAAAAAAAAAATGGAAGGAAGGAAGAAAGGACGCAATACTATAATTATGAAGTCAACTGCTCAGTTTGAAAGTTTAATTCACTTTTAACCCCTTAAGGACCAAACTTCTGGAATAAAAGGGAATCATGACATGTCACACACGTCATGTGTCCTTAAGGGGTTAATAAGCCAATTACAATTTAAAAATAAAAATTTTTTTAAAAAAAGGATGCTATGGGCACCACAACAACCTCATCAACTTATTAAGGTTAGAGGAGACCCTGGCTTACTTAACCCCTTAAGGACGCATGCCATGTGTGACATGTCATGATCCCCTTTTATTCCAGAAATTTAGTCCTTAAGGGGTTAAACGGGTGCCCAATCACCTTCTCGCACCCTGATAACGTCATTACGATAAAAATATTATGGTGCCCTGAGTGATCATTTCATTCACATTGAGACACAAACCAGTTAATTCAACTTTGATAGTAAAGTGCAACAAAATTTGCTGGCGCTTTATAAATAATAAACAATAATAGCTGGTTACATAATGGCATTGGTTTACATAGTGACTCTAGTAATATTATCACACTTACTACTGAAAAAACAATTTCCACTAAATTCTACCAACGTTCTAACAGTTGTTAAATTGCACAAAACAAACAGTGTTAATGTGAATGTTTGCATAAGAAATCCCTTACAACTTATCTATATAAACATATGCAGTAAGAAACCGGTTACTGGGTTACTTTAAAAAGATGTCACTTAAATCTCAAGGCTATTGACGGTTCTGCAAAATCATCAAGGGAATCTCTGGGAAGCAATTTGCTTGAAAACGATTGTCACAACTGAAGCATGATTCTGAGGGCAATGCTCTACTGGGAGGTCTTAGGGACATAAACAAGATACTATAACTGCACTGAAACAGTTCATCCTCGAGTGGAAAAAAAAAATTAAATGTAGCTTTGTGGTGTCAGGAGTGCCTGTAATTTGTCAAACAGTTTTAAAGTGGTTTGACAACTTACCTGTGTCCCACCAAGTGGCTCCTTGTAGGAGAATTTGGTTAGTCCCACTGCCTGGAGTTAGGCAGGGCCATGTGGGGCCACAAGCACTAACTGAATGCATCAGTGGAGGACAGAACCAGGATTAGCTGCAAAGTGACTTTCGGAGAACACCAGATGCACCAGGTAAGTTGTAAAAACATTCTAACACAGTTTGACAAATTACACTGGGACGGAGCCAGGGGACTCCTGGTACAATAGCCACTCCAATGGTTTGAGAATCTATTGGCTTCTGGATAAAAAATAATAAAAAATAAAAAATTCTAGCTTTGCAAGTAATGTTTTAATTTCACTCTTACCAGTGTTGCAAGAGAGTGGAATTCTCTAGAACCACCTATAGAAGAGTCACACGTCATGGTAAAGTCGGAGGAATCGGAAGCAGGAGTAAGGGGTCTCATTTTCAAGACATCTCCTTTGTGGGACCTTTGACCCCATGCACTCATGCACACCAGTGCTTCCACAGCTTCAAAATCATTCTGCTCCAAGGTACTACATGTCGACCTTTCACTGTCATGTCTCTTCCGTTCCAGTATGGACTCACACATGTCCACGAAGTCAACCTGCACACAAGGAAGAACGTTTGTTAGGCAATATGGTAACAAGTCAAGAACACATTTCCAAATATGAACTGCTAATATACAAGTAAAAAAAAAATGATTTCTCTTTCTCTCTATGCGGTGGACTTTGTGCAACTTGGGTGCTCAGGCTGAACTCCATAGCGTAACATTTAATATCAGTATTTATGTCATTAGTCCAAATGACATTTTAAGAGGTTACAGCGTGCACAATATTATCAAGTCTGAAAGAGGTAATCTAGTCGCTGATTAGCACTTTTTGACCATAAGTGGTAGTATAAAATTAGCATGCGTTAATAAATTCCTGTGTTTATATTGGACTTTGTAGTACAATTACAAGCATTTATTACCATTTTATAAGCATCAACGATGCTGACTGACTTTTCTTTGTACAATTTGCAAAATGAACAAAAACAGGGGCCAACATAAAGCAATTCCACCAAAGCAGAATATAGATTTAAATATGAGAAATCAAACATGAAAATTGCTAGTTACACAGTCATATCTTAAAATATCCCCAGGGCTGGTGTGACATTATCAGCACAGTCAATAATGGAGTCATGAATTTTATTTAAAAACTAATAATTGTGACTGCTCTAAAATAAATAAATAAATAAATTTAAAAAAAGGGTGATGATTATAAGGCTCAACAAAACAATAATTTAAGGATTACTGTAATATATGCAGTAACCAAATGTGTAAAAAAAAAATATATATATATTTTCATACACCATATGTATATTTTAATATCTGACTCTCCATTTAAAATTGTATTTGCATCACAAGCAATATTGCATTTATTTTAGGGAGGGGGGCTCCCGTGTTTTGTATCTTCTGCAATTCCGTTTATTCAGTTTAGTAATTAGACCCCCTTAAATATCCAGACGCGAGGTAGGGAGCTCCCCGCCGCCCCAGACCTGTAATGTTTGTGAATCAGGAAACATGTCCTCAGATGACCTGCCTCACAATGGCGTGTCTAAGAGCACGCATACAGATGTATTTGTGCAGTGAAACGGGAAAGCTACTTGCAGATAGTGATTTATTTGCAATTATTACAACAAAATACCACCCAAAAGTACATTATGGAACATATGGTTTGCATTTCACAGAAACACTCAAACTGCTCTTTTTTTTTTTTTTGCTGCTGCAATGCAGAAATAGACTATTGTATTCTATATTTACAGGCTGCATTGCACAATATAGCACTGCCATGCACCGATGATGTCTGCCTTGTTTTTCTCCCTAATATTGGCAACTCGACAGTTTGTTGTTGTTGGATTTTTTTTGTAAACAAGTAGACACAAAAGGATTCCTAACTCAATGAGCCACCTGGTCACCATATATTAATGACCTATCAGCTCTCTCAAGACTTCTTGTGAAGATCTTGGGATTTCTTTGGAACTCGAAGTGAATATTCAAAGAGAGATTTGAGATCTTTGTACAAACTGAAAGATTCGAACAGTATTACTAATTCAACCTGTAGAGTTTGTCCCCATATTAGCTCTGAGGTGACATACACTACTGTTCATTAGCTAGGTTAAGCTTGGCCCAATGGCATTCAGAGGGGTTAATAAATGGAAGACAGAAGAGAAAATGGCTTCTAAAGTTACTCACAGAAAATTTAAATCCATGTTCCACACAATACCAATTCAATGAATTGAGAGTTAATTATAGCTGGTTACATTATTTCACTAAGCAAAACAGCAGCCCAGCCACAGGTCTCTTTAACCCTAGCAATACTATTTTAAACTTCAATTATACCACGAAATTCGATAAATTCTTCATAAACAATACGCACCATAACCACAGCAATGCACTGTATTGTTTACGGTTCTTAAAGAGCCCGTTAGCGCAAACTCTACCATAGTTTTTTAACTGACAAAACCTTGGCTCTCATGGGAGGTCCAGTGTACCTCAGAATCTTTGGGCTATAACTACTACAGTCAGCTTTCATGGCTATGAGTGTTAGAGAGCTTCTTTTTGAATGTCAGCTCTATGACTCACATAGTGAAACACTAAGCTGGGAATAAGTCCATTCTCAGTTTGGTGACTAGACCTCCGCTCTTTTAGAAATAAAAGAGAAAGAACTCCAGAGACCCTGTTGTTCCAATGTACCAAGATTTAAAAAAAAAAAAAAAACAGAATAAGATTAAAGGAATAAAAACCTGCAATGCTAACATTAATTTTTAATTTTAACCTCCATCACTACTTAGTGAAAAATATGGTCATTAAACTACTACTAATAAACAAGTTGCCAAATCCTAAGCTAATTATTGGCCATCCTTTGCCCAACCTTTACTGCCTATGTGCTTGCTAACCAGTAATCAATGGTAGCTTTCATAAGCAGCATCTATCCATCCAGCCCTTCAGAGAGAAGGCAGGGCTAGAATAATGCTAAATATGAGAATAAAATGCACACACCTAGCAAGTTATAGAGCACATCAGCTGTTAGGCTCTCTGTCTTTTGGATGTTGTTTTGCAGTTTCAGGGGAAGGTACTGAGGGACAATAAGATTTTAACGGTATTGCCCCACCCTAAGAGAAGCTGTTACAAAACCACTAACCACCACCCCTTTCCCCCACCACTACCTCCCAGAGGCCAGGCTTGGAGATCCAAATTTAGCTCTCCAATACGTCATCCATTAAAATAGCCATGTGAGGTGGGCGTTGCATGGGCTGGAGGGGAGGTGCAGGAAGTGTCTGGGTGTTTTGTGACGCTCAGAGAGAGGTTTGGTTTCTGTTCAAAATCCATCCAAATAACAAACCCAGCAAATTAGGGGTTGGCCAAGGGATAGCTCATCAGCTGTAGCAAAACAACAACAGCTCCCATCATGCTTGGCCACCCTTAAGTCTATCCAAGGATAATGGGAGTTTTAGTTAGTTAGCAGGTGGTCATCCACCTTTAACCACATCAACATGGGTGATAAGAAAAAGTGAAACTATAGCCAGAGGGTTAGAATTCTCCTTATTGTTATTATTAGACAGGCACTGTGCCCTGTGTCCAGCAACTATTAACATTAAGATGGTCACTAATACATTTTCATAATTATTTGTATTTTTTAACAAGCAAAAAGGGCTATCACAGCGATTGGTCAATATCAGCTAGTCAGCACCAATAACTACATATCAGCAATGTTGACCCCTGGGCTACTGTGTAACCAGCTACGGATTATGGAGTTTACCAGATACAGTGTAACATCTTGGCAGCAGATCTACACACAGAGAATACAATGTATACACAGCAATGATACCCACAGACTATCAAGTCAGACAATGATCCCAAATAATGATCCCATACAGAATGACCCATTGCAGCTGGTTGGAGCTCACACTCGGGGCTCAGGTATTAAGGAGGATTTTTTTTTTGGGGGGGGGGGGAGCAAACTGCTGATTAAGAATCAGCCAACAGGAGCAGTTTCCATGGTGATTGCTGCCATTTAGAACGTTGCCCCAGTATTCCTAGGTAACGTTGTATCACTGGCTCCCCAGACAGCTGACCATAGCAGGACCCCCCCAGACAGCTGACCATAGCAGGACCCCCCCAGACAGCTGACCATAGCAGGACCCCCCCAGACAGCTGACCATAGACCCAGACAGCTGACCATAGCAGCACCCAGACAGCTGACCATAGCAGCACCCCCAGACAGCTGACCATAGCAGCACACCCCCAGACAGCTGACCATAGCAGCACCCCCAGACACCTGGCTATAGCAGCACCTCCTGACACCTGGCTATGGCTATAGCAGCACCCCCTGACACCTGGCTATAGCAGCACCCCCTGACACCTGGCTATAGCAGCACCCCCCGACACCTGGCTATAGCAGCACCCCCCTGACACCTGACAATAGCAGGACCCCCAGACCATAGCAGGACCCCCAGACCATAGCAGGACCCCTGACACCTGGCTATAGCAGCACCCCTGACCATAGCAGGACCCCCAGACCATAAGTGCAGTACCCCCCTGACAGCTGACCATAGCAGGACCCCCCAGACCATAGCAGGACCCCTGACACCTGACCATAGTAGACCCCCTGACACCTGACCATAGCTGGATCCCCTGACAGCTGACCCTAGCAGGGCCCCCCAGACCATAGCAGGACCCCCCCTGACAGCTGACCCTAGCAGGGCCCCCCAGACCATAGCAGGACCCCCCGGATGAATGGAAGCCGGTAGGTGGCCATGCATTACTTACAGCAGCCGGTGGGTACTGCCTGTCCACAGGGGCCACATTCAGCATGGTGCTGGGCTGTTACAATGTAACAAAGGATGAGGCTGTAGCAGCAGGTCCTGGTGCCGCCTGCCAGAACCAGGCTGTGCTCATCAGCAATAACAAGCTTCCCCTCTTAGCACTGGGGATGGCCCTCGTCATGTTGCAGGGAGGGCCGGCTCCGGCGTGCACACACATCCACGGAGGGGGGCGGAGGAGGCGAGGTGAGGACAGAGCACTCACTCTGCATAGCACAGGCAGCACGAGGGAGGGGGAGAACGGCCCTCGGCCAATCACAGCGCAGCCGGCCTGCCCGGCAACCAATGGGAGCCGCCGGCAGAGCGTGATCGGCTCGTGCAGGAAGCATGCTGGTGGGCGGAGGGAGATGTTCCAGTGACTCGGCGGCTGAGTCTGCATGGACCTGGTGAACTGTGAGAGCTGGAAAGTAGGGGAAAGGTCGTACGGCTGGGGACAGCCCAGCAATGTAGGCCCGCCTGTCAATCACAAGGGGGCCACGCCCACTCCGAACACAGCAAAACATAGAAACACTGACTGTGCTCTATATAAACTTATTATATAGCCTGTTATATATAAACTGATTATTACACTGACTGTAACATATAAACTGATTATATAGCCTGTTATAAATAAACTGATTATTACACTGACTGTGCTCTATATAAACTTATTATATAGCCTGTTATATATAAACTGATTATTATATAGCCTGTAATATATAAACTGATTATTACACTGACTGTGCTCTATATAAACTTATTATATAGCCTGTTATATATAAACTGATTATTACACTGACTGTGCTCTATATAAACTTATTATATAGCCTGTTATATATAAACTGATTATTATATAGCCTGTAATATATAAACTGATTATTATATAGCCTGTTATATATAAACTGATTATTACACTGACTGTAACATATAAACTGATTATATAGCCTGTTATAAATAAACTGATTATTACACTGACTGTAACATATTAAACTTATTACACTGACTGTAACATATTAAACTTATTATGATACATACTGTAACATATCAAACTTATTATTACACTGGCTGTAACATAACAAAAATTATTATGCAGTCTGTAACATATCAAACTTATTAAGAAGTCTGTAACATATCAAACTTATTACACAGACTGTAACATACCTAAAGGTATTACTTATTACAAAGGTTGTAACATTTCAAACATTTCTTATTATCCATGCTATACCATACCAAAGCTTATTATTACACAGGCTGTGCCATGCCAATAAATGTTATTACACAGTCTGTGCCATAGCAATAAGTATTATTACATACGCTGTGCCATGCCAACGAGTGTTATTACATAGGCGATGCCATGCCAGTGGGTGTTATTACACAGACTGTGCCATGCCAATAAGTGTTATTACATAGGCTGTGCCATGCCAATGAGTGTTATTACACCGGCTGTGCCATGCCAAAAAGTGTTATTATATAGGCTGTGCCATGCCAATAAGTGTTATTACATAGGCTGTGCCATGCCAATGGGTGTTATTACACAGACTGTGCCATGCCAATAAGTGTTATTACGTAGGCTGTGCCATACCAATGAGTGTTATTACACCGGCTGTGCTCTATATGAACTTATTATTATTATTACACAGACTGTGCTCTATATAAACTTATTATTACACTGACTGTGCTCTATATAAACTTATTATTATATAGCCTGTAATATATAAACTTATTATTACACAGACTGTGCTCTATATAAACTTATTATTATATAGCCTGTTATATATAAACTTATTACACTGACTGTGCTCTATATAAACTGATTATTATTACACAGACTGTGCTCTATATAAACTGATTATTACACTGACTGTGCTCTATATAAACTGATTATTATTACACAGACTGTGCTCTATATAAACTTATTATTATATAGACTTAATATATAAACTGATTATTATTATATAGACTGTAATATATAAACTGATTATTATATAGCCTGTAATATATCAAACTTATTATATAGCCTGTAATATATAAACTTATTATTATATAGCCTGTAATATATCAAACTTATTATTACACAGACTGTGCCATACAACTTATTATTATACAGCCTGTACAATATCAAACTTATTACACTGACTGTAACATAGTAAACTTATTATGATACAGACTGTACCATACAACGTATTATTATATAGCTTGTAATATATCAAACTTATTACACTGACAGTAACATATTAAACTTATTATGATACAGATTGTGCCATACAACGTATTATTATATAGCTTGTAATATATCAAACTTATTACACTGACAGTAACATATTAAACTTATTATGATACAGACTGTGCCATACAACATATTATTATATAGCTTGTAATATATCAAACTTATTACACTGACAGTAACATATTAAACTTATTATGATACAGACTGTGCCATACAACGTATTATTATATAGCTTGTAATATATCAAATTTATTACACTGACTGTAACATATTAAACTTATTGTTATACAGACTGTAACATATCAAACTTGTTATTACACTGGCTGTAACATAACAAAAATTATTATGCAGTCTGTAACATATCAAACTTATTAAGAAGTCTGTAACATATCAAACTTATTACACAGACTGTAAGATACCTAAACGTATTACTTATTACAAAGGTTGTAACATTTCAAACATTTCTTATTATCCATGCTGTACCATACCAAAGCTTATTATTACACAGGCTGTGCCATGCCAATAAATGTTATTACACAGGCTGTGCCATGCTAATAAGTGTTATTACACAGTCTGTGCCATAGCAATAAGTATTATTACATAGGCTGTGCCATGCCAACGAGTGTTATTACATAGGCGATGCCATGCCAATGGGTGTTTTTACATAGGCGATGCCATGCCAATGGGTGTTTTTACACAGACTGTGCCATGCCAATGACTGTTATTACATAGGCTGTGCCATGCCAATGAGTGTTATTACACAGGCTGTGCCATGCCAATAAGTGTTATTACATTATGTGCCATGCCATCAAGTGTTATTACACAGGCTGTGCCATAATCTAAGATTGAGAGCTCGGGCCTTCTTCACCGCTTGTTTCTGTCAATACTACTTTGTATATTAATACTTGTTTATATCCCCAAAATATTATTGTTAGGCGCTGCATAATATATTAATACTATATAAATAATAATAATAATAATAATAATAATACATGTTATTATAAAGGTGGTGCCATGCCAATACATGTTATTACATAGGCTGAATGTGTAAGTCAGGGGTAGGCAACCTTGGACACTCCAGACGTTGGTGACTACATCTTCCCAAATGCTATCCTAGCATTATGTCTGTAAGAGTATTTTGGGAGATGTAGTTGACAACATCTGGGGTGCTGAGAGTTGCCTACCCCTGCTGTACGTGATTCCTTTATCAGCAAGGTCTCATGGCTCGAGAAGAGGCAGGAGCTGTAATTTCATTGAGACACTTTCATTGCTATGTCAATAACATACCAACAATAACTATATTGGTATGGCCAACATTGGAGACTCTAAAAAAAAAAAATCATACTACATATAATATATGTGTTACTCAATTCACAATTTTTCCAAATATGCTGTATTTAATTTCATTGTGCAAAAATTCATTTGGACCAGTTCTTCCGAATCCAAACAGTTTTAACCCTCACCATCTGAATACAGCTGTCCTAGATTTACCTGTGGAGTCTTATTCATTGAACGGGTAAACCCCGGGTGGATGAATTGTTTTGTTTGCATGTGGGCTAGAAGGAACGGTCCAAACACATATATGCACAAGTCTAATTTTTACGTAAAAGTTGCAATTTCTCTGTAAATTTTGCACGCATTCTGATTTGGTGAATTAACACTTGTGACGATATTCATGCAATTAAATCGTCGTAGCATAGGTTAACCTCTAAACAAAAACAAAAAAACAACTAAACTTGAAAAATAAATAATTAAAGATGTAGGCGCATACTTTTCAAGGAAGAGCTGATTTTAAGCCCATGTCCCACTATCCCAGGTGTTGTTGGTACTTTACGTTAACTATCCAATGCTCTTTTAAATTTTCTCATTTTAAATTCTCAGAGCTGACCCTAAAATCTAAGTAATGCCTGTGTCTATGTTTGTGCTCCCTTCTATGTATGCCTGTGTACACCTGCCTGTGTATATGCTTGCCTCTGTTTACCTGTGCCTGTGTGTGCTACTGTTTGTGTGTACCTTCCTCAGTGTGTGAGCCTGCCTGTATAAGCCTGAGCCTATGTATGTGTATTGTAGGGATAATGTTTGCACCTGTATGTGCTTGTGACTGTCACTGGCTGTGCCTATCTGTGTGTGTGTGCCTTTAAGTGTTTTATAATTCTATATTAATCATATTGCATACACAACCCCCACAGAATCACACTCAGCCATCCCCCCTCCCTGCGCGCGCACACACACACACATACACACACACATACATACAGAATCACATTCAACCAGCCCTTGCATACCTCTTGGCAAATTAAATGGACAAAGACGAACACTTTAAATTTAGGGATGTGGCTAGGGGTCGGCTGTTCTGAGAAATTTAGGTGTCTTGCTAATAACAATTTATGTAACTAAAATGTAATTTTAGTTACATAAAGAATAATGTATTTTATTTACACAGATATATTTTTAGACACATTTAGTGCAGATTAAAGACACATTACTGTGAGTATTATTGCTGCTGTGAAACTCTGTTATACACTCAGACACACCAACAATATGGAGCTCTTTTAGAGCGTTAGGATAGAAAAGAGGGACAGAGGAAATTGGGCCCAAAATAGGGACTGCCCCTCCTAAATAGGGGTACTTAGAAGCAGAGTTGCCATCAGAAATGTTGGGGCCCCTTACACAGCTCAAGGCCTGGGCCCTCAGGGCCTGCCACCCAAAGTCCTCCCACAGGAGATGCAGAGAGTGTATGTGTGGTGGATGCAATGTGGGTTTAGTGGATGCAGTGAGTGCACAGTGGAAGCAGTGTGTATTATGGATGCAGAGCTTTGTGTAAAATGGATGCAGTATGTGTGCTTATGTTAGTTTGCAGAGTTTGAAACGGGGCATGGGGGGAAGCATTTATAAATATATATATATAAATATATATATATATATGATAAAATGTATTCCCACTTCCATGCCTCTTACCCAGTGGGTTACTTATTCCCTGGTGGTCCAGTGGCACAGCAGCTTGCTTGCATAGTGAAAAGGAGGTTCATGAGACTCCAGT